TACAGTGTTGTTGCATGTGCAGACATTTTTTTGTTTTATTGCATTGCTCTAACACATTTGTTAAATTTGGCCTAATCTTACTTATTTTTACTAATTTCAAATAAAAATAATCGTAAAATCTATTAATTTGTTAATTATTAAACATTACAATTAAACATCACAATTTAAAAATTGGTATCGTAGTAAAAAAAATAGTGAGTAACTTACTATTTTTAGACGTTTCTGTCCATGATTGAGGCGAAGGAATATCCTTGAGGAAATTCGGTATGCGAGGCAGTATTGTTTCATCTGTCCATAAATGACTGCAGCCTGCCAGCTCAATTTCCATCCATTCATTTTCAAAAGCACTTAAATCGTTGAGAGGCTTAGCATAATCTACAGGGGTTGAAGAATAAGTTTTTGAAATACCATTACAAAATACTATCTTACCTTTGGCATTTTTATCCTGTTGAGCTATAAAATATAAATAGAAACCCGGTATAACTGGTTTATTGAAATCCCCCGATGCATGACATATCATTTTTTCCTTTCTCATATTCTCCAATATGTCCAAGGGATTTCGACTATTGTCCAAATTGTTTTTCAGCCACATCAGGGCATCGAATGATACAAATGTGTATGAGGGCAGGCTTTGTGTTTGCGATATAAAGGCAACGCCATGTATCGGATGTTTCATTGCCTCGAATATTTCATTTAGTGTGGCATTGGGACGTAATTTTATTTCCGTTGTCGAACTATAATCGGGAATATTAAATTAATATTAGAATAGAAATACTACAAAATTCAAATATTTTCCTACTTTTCGTCATAATCATCATGTGGGGCATTGGAATCCGAAGCGTTTAAGGCAACAGCTGCTGCATCGGCGGCGGGATGGATAATACGACCACCTACACGCTCCGGTTTAACCACAGTTGAACGTATACTACTATATTAAAAACAAATTATATTAAGCATTTTTAGAACGATTAAAATAAAATACAGTATATAGCCAATAAAACAGAACAGCTAAGAAAGCAACAAAGTAAGCCAAATAAGTTAAAAAAAAAAAACAATTGTGTAAACTTCTTGTGTATTTACAAATGTTTTTTAGGTGTGAAATGAATTTTGATGTTGCAAATTTATTTACATTAATGTGCAGCTATTTATGTGCGACTGTGTGTGTGACAAACCAACAAACCTTTGCTGTGGTGAATTAAATATTAGATGATGCTTATCAGAGAATCTAGTTGTAACATGCTGAAAGCCAAAGACCAAAACAAAGAAAAAATTAAAAAAAAAACGTGAAAATAAAATAAATGAAAAGAAATAGCAAAAAAAAAAAAATGAAAAACATACATAAATAAAAAAATATATATGAAAATAGCTTAAAATTATTATATTAAAAGCTTTGAAATATGATGAGAGTGGATTTACCACCGGTTCTTGTAAAGTTATTTTATTCGTAAGAATTATAGACAATAAGAGTTGATATAAAACATTTTTAGAAAACTTTTATTAACAAAAACAGGTGGTTAATTGTCCGTTCAATTGGAAAGGGTTGTAACAAACTTCAGGTGATTTATATCAGTGAAAGCTTTCTCGTATCTAAATTAACTGGTTTTATTTTATTTCAAAGGTTTCCCTGGTAATTTTTTTTTCGAATAAACTATGATTTGATTCCTCAATGTATGGAAATAGCCTAGGAAGAGAATTCGGTTTAATGTTTACATATTGGCTGTGTGGACCACATTGAACGTAGTTGAAGACATCTGATAATAAATGGACGTGGACTCCGGTATTCAATCTTTGTTCCTAGCAACAGCATTCTAAACTACGCACTTCATGTGGTAAATAGTTTACCCGTAGATTTTATGGAAGAAATGATGTTAAACAGCTCCAAAAATATTACCCTGGGGAAATCCTTGTTTTGAATTACGGTAAACTTATTGTTCCGGAACTATAAATAAACATGCGTCCACGTTTCATGCTTTGGGAACTATGTATGTGTTTACTGACATAACGAGAACATTGGCCAGGTACTCGATTCCAGTTTAATCCAGCTGTTTCAGAGATTTCGTCACAATACAACTCTTTTATTTTCGATGTTCGGAGGTGAGGGACTTAAGGGGGCTGCTGACGGGAATTATTGGAATTTATTGGAAGATGTTCAATTTATTGGAAGATGTTCAAATAAAATCTGATCCGCCTACGGGGAGCATAACTGAACGCTAATGGCTGGGTCCACAGATTACGGATAGTGGGAAGCCCAATCCTATTCTTTGGGTAGCTGTGAATATTAAATAAGCAGTCGCGGACAATCAGCGGGTGCTGTGTAGAGTCTCGGAGGAAATGACCGAGTTTCTATGATCCAAGGACTGACGAGGCGAGAATGGCGCCTTTTAATTATCCACTTCAAATGGATAATTAAAAGGCCTTTTAATTATCCACTTGAGGCAGCTGGCCATCGAAAACATTAAACATTAATTAATAAAAGGATTTAACCATTTTCGTCCGTTGTAATGTGTTTTAGCAATGTATAATTTCGTTGGAAAGAAATATCGCAAAAAATCCCTATCGACTTAAACATGTTGATATTATTATTTGGTATTAGTCATTACAACCGATCCTGCATGTAATTTAGTATTTGTGGAAAGGAAAATATTTGCAAAACAATATTTAATAGAGTCACGCTTTGTAATATAATTCGGACTAGATTATATAGAAATTTCCTTGTAAAAAATGCTTACAGCCCTTTCCAATTAAATATATTATATAAGTAAACTTAAAAAAACAAGCACTAATAATCTCCTTATGTTATATACAGAAGATATTCAAATATATATTAATTATAATTGTCTTAAGCATAATACTACAATAAACAATAAAATCAAACACCTTAACAACGAAATTGAAAAAAAATATATATATATATATGTATATATCACAGAAAAACAAAGCCATTCAAAGAAAAAATGCCAATACTATTGTACAAAATACCAAATCAAAGGAATATTGAATATATCAATAATAAAAACCTTGGTCGTTTTTCCGGTAAACGATTACTGCCAACTCTTTCACGAAAGGGAGAATTAGTGAGACCCTAAATTTGGAAGGATATTAAAGAAAATAATTATTATAAATATTTTCAAAGATATAACAGAAAGAAAGAAAAAAATATCATTTTCAATTCACACGTTAGTGATGAATTGACAAATGGACAATGGAAAAATTTGTGAATATTATTGACGAAAATCAAAACAAACAAAACATGGTAAAAACAAAAGAAAATTAAAACGTTTATCTTTTTTTAACAGTAGTAGTAGTGGTTTTTAATAGAATTGTTTGTTAAGTGGTAAATTAAAGAATTTGAAAGGTAGAGAACCTGATTAGGCGGAGGTCTGGAAATTATGCTGGTACTGTGGCGCCGTCTTGTTAGATGACTTTGTGCGGTAGGACTATCCTGTAAACGAATCCAACTCAAACATTTAAGGCACAAAAAAGCAACAATACATCGTTGGGAAAGTATGAAATATTTTTTAAATTAAAAACATAATTTTGTAAAAGCATAAACAACAATAAAAAAATAATTAATAAACCAAGAAGACATAAATTAAAATATGTTTTCTTACAATAAGCGGTAACAAAGAAAATAAATATAAATAAATAAAATTGAAAAATGTATAAAAGAAAAAATATAAATAAATAAAATAAAAAATTAGTGACTCATGTTGATACAGATATAGAAAAAATACAAAGATACAAAAATAAATTGAACATTGATAAACATTTAGGTTTCTATGGAAAATTGCTTACGCGTGCTTTACGCCGTTTCAGTTTGTTAATGTGAACTTCCATAAAACGCATAAAATCCTCAACTTGCTGTTTGGCACTTTCCGGTGTCGGTTCGGTAAATACATCACAGTACTGGCATCCCTGTTCCATAATTTTATTCATAGCTTTATTTTCCTTCGGCAACAAATACATACGGAAACGCCAATATTTTAAGCTCTAAAAGAATAATTTACTCATTTTTGTTAACATAATTAAAAACGTTGAAAATTAATTAAATAAATAATTGTTTTAAGTTTTTTATACCCTTCACCACCCGAAGGAAAAGTTTTTATTAAATTTATCATTCAATTGATATTTTTCATGAGAATAAAATTCTATGTCTATTAAGACTTTTCTGTCTGTTGAAATCATCTAACTTTCGCTATTTTATGAAGATTGGTAACGTAATGTAGTATTTTTATATAGAGTGTTACCGAGAGATATATACTCTCAGTCTATGGTTCGCGAAATCTACGAAATATTCGCTTTATATAAGGTACGAGCATATGCCCGCAAACTTCGTTAACGAATGTGGGTATTATCTAAAAACCAATAACGACCATAATTAAAATTTAAGTACAATTTATTACGTATATTCTCTTATAGTACTTATTTCTAAAACTTTAAATTTTAGGATTCTAGCTCTATCGATTCACCCAAAATTAAAATTATACGAAATTTAGTACATATGGAGTGCAGCTTCACCTGTCGCCCGAAGCCAAATACCTTGGCACATTCCTGGACTGTCAATTACGATGGAATAGAACGCCGAGGAACGGGAGAGGAGAGGGCAGATTGCACTCTATGCATGCAAGAACCCCATTGGGAAAAGTTCTCTTGTTTGACGGCACTGATTGCGCCACAAGTCTACATCCAGCAAACTAGACAAGGCACAAAGAGCCGCCTCGATTCTAATAACTGGAGTCGCGAGAAGCACCCCACAAGCAGCTCTGAACGTAATGCTAAACTTAAGGCCTCTGTGTCTCAGCATTAAGTGTCAGGCAGCGCGTAGTGCCCTAAGGCTGCATGAACAAAATCTATGGCGAAATTGTACCTACGGGCATGGATGTATCCTGAACGAACTAGGTATGACATTGGACCAACGCGTAAAACTAAGCGACTATATATCACCAGTACTTTTAGTACTTTTGATACACATTTCAAAACTACCACCATATTGCTACCCTACACACCGACGGTAATGTTTATTTAAATTTTCAGGATTCCAGCTCCATCCGTTTCTCCAAATTCAAATGGTACCACCCACCTCCCTACTTCATAACCTTAATTCGCATTGCAAATTTCAAGTTTTTGGTCCTATTCATTCACATTCTAAGAAATGGTACCAAATTTAGTACATTTTAGTACTTTTCGTATGCTTATAGTTCTAATGTCCAAAAAACCTCTACTACATCTATTCTACACCCCATCAGTGACGCTCAGTTCAAATTTAAGAGTTCTAGCTCGAGTTCGCCAAAAACAAATTGTACTTTTCGTGCCGTTCTAGTACGAATTGAAAACTTTGGACCTCAAATTTCAAGATCCTAGCTCCAGCCGTTTCGTCTGGGGATTGATGAATCGTTAAGACAGTCAGTCAATCACTTTACTTAGTATAGATAAATGTCAGCATTCCTATGCGGAATGGCACACAAAGATCGGTCAGATCGTTTTTCATTGTTTTTTTTTATGTTCATAATAAAAGTTCATAAATAAAGTCTAAAATGTCTCAAATCGGTCATGTGGTGAAGGGTATAATAAACCATCGCTTCAATGCCATACATACCTCCATTAATGGATAATCCGTATCTCCTCGAGTACATATATAATGATCCATATAATTCCAATTGAAATTTTCCAACTTCTCCGTGGTAAAATTAACTCCAGATATTTCATAGGTTTCATGTTGAGGAGCATGAAATCGATAACGGTAATCGACATTTATTGGTGGGTATGGATGTCTAGAAAATTTCCAATTTATTTTAATTATTGGAATATTTTTTACCTTTCCATTGGCCTTTCTTCTTTCATAAATAATAAATTAATTAAAAACAAACAAAAAAACTTACCTTGGCCTATAACCAGTCACCGTTATTACCGATCCATTTAATGTTATTTTATGAAATATACGACCTATTGATAATAAATATTCTTTGGTCTCTTCATTGTCGGGTTTCATATGCAACACGGATGTTGGCTTCTGTTGTTTCAAACCACCACAACAGGGCGCCTGAGCTGGAGCATTAGGCTTCTCTTCGATAACAATCAGCTGGAAGCCCTGAGCCAAACGTTGCGAAACAATTTCAGTACAAACCTCCTCAGTTGTCAACGGTTTTCGATAGATGGCACGACTTTTGGCATAATCCAAATTTACATCGTCCGGCAGGAGTGTATAATCGGATATAACATAATCATTGTGCAGCGAACGTTTGTCAGGAAAATAATCCGTAGTTATGGGCAAACATGCCGGTATTGTAAGAGATTTCCAATCAACTCCTACAATGTATGGTATTTTGTATAAGTTCATAAATAAGTGGTGGAGTTTTGGATTGCATTTGGTTGGCACAACAATTAAACCAACAAAAAAAATAAATAAATAATAATTATCGCATTTTGCGAATGCCATAAAAAAGATAGTTGTACAGCATGTGTGAAATAAGTGGTGGTGACAGAAACATAGAAAATTCTTGGACATTTAAAGAGAAAACATTTAACAAAACCAAAGGAAGTTATTGAAAATAAATTAAAAAAAGAAGTTATACGGGAAGAAATTATAGAGAAAGAGTAACCACCGCATACCAGAGTATGTATATAAGCAGCTATAAAAAAATTAAAAAAGAATATGAGCAATATATTTTAAAGCAGAAAAAATGTGAATCGTACACATGAAAGAGGAAATAGTGGATCAAGAAGATATAAATTACGTTGAAGAAAATGTATAAAAAAAATTCATTTACAAATTGAATATAAATACCAAGAGTTAAGAACAAATATCTATAGAACTAAATAAAAAATTATTTCGAAAGACCAACGCATTATTTAAAAAATAAAATGATTTTAAAAAGCAAAAATAATGTCAAACCATAAATATTCTATTTCACTGGCCGTTGGTGTATTCGGTTCCAAACAGTTAGATATGTGGTATAAACTAGCTTCTCCTCTACATTTCCAACGAGAATGAGACTAAAATCGGACGAGGCCGATTATATCATACACTTTGGGTATACACAGGAGCATTTTTATATTTAGTAATACAGTCGACGGCCGGTAAAACGAATACTCAGTTTAACGAATTCGGGATATAAAGGGCCCCATACACTATAAATCATGCCGTCATGCCGATGAACCCCTTTTTGTATATGTGACATTGACTAGTGTATGGCAAACTCTTCAATCACTATTCAAAAAAATCTATTTTTGTCCAAAAAATTGAATTTTGAGTCGTAAATTCAGTTGTTTTTTTATTCCGTCACAATTCTATTATATTTGTACACAAGGTATATTAATAAGGTAACCGTATCAAGGAAGCTTATGGTAACATTATATGTCAAATATAATTTTGGATTCGCCGTAGGAAAATACAAATTTCAAACAAAAATTTAATAATATTTATTGTGAAATCAATTTTATGAAATATTTCAAGGGCCCCATACACTATACACCATGCCGTCATGCCGATGAACCCCTTTTTGTATATGTGAGATTGACTAGTGTATGTCAAACTCTTCAATCACTATTCGATTTTTGTTCAAAAAAATCACATTTTGAATCGTAAATTCGGCATGATGTATAGTGTATGGGGCCCTAAACAATTTGTGAGCAATGAGGTGTATTCGGTCGATCCACTGGTCTTAGTTTTTCTATGGAGCTTAACCCTGATTGTGCAAAAATCCTGCGACAATTATCTGATATTTGATTCTCGAACAACCACAATAAATTCTAGTATATGGATTAAGCAAACATTTTATATATACCATATCGGACCAAATACATCCACATATTATATATGATTTTAGAGGAAATATATCTTTTTTCATACTGACTGATTGATTCAGCTAGTAGAGATATTCTCAATCCGTTATACGAAAGGATGGGTATAGGGCTAACATTTCGTAGCGTTATAAACACATTTTCTGCGTGAATCACATATTGAAATTACTCCACCGCCATTTTATTGCATTTACAAATGTTGATTTTAATCTTTCTGACGATTTTCATTCACAAAATTATTAATTACTCAAATGAGAAGAATTTCAAAAAAAGAATTAAAAGTAAAATAATATTTGTTAATACTTCAAAATTCTGTGTTCTGATTGGTAGAAAAAAATTTGCTTCAAAATTGATATGTCAAAGCGAATTAATTTAAATTCGCTTTGTTTGTCGTTTTGACATATCATGTTCCCAATTCGCCGATGCGGCTACCTTATATATGGGGCCCTTAAATAATTTTGTGTACAAAAATAATAGAATTGTGACGGAATAAAACAACAACTGAATTTACGACTCAAAATTCAATTTTTGGACAAAAATCGATTTTTTGGAATAGTGATTGAAGAGTTTGCCATTCACTAGTCAATCTCACATATACAAAAAGGGGTTTATCTGCATGACGGTATGATTTATAGTGTATGGGGCCCTTTAGGTAGTCGCATCGACTAGGTCATGTCTAGGATACCTTCACATGAACTTCTATAGGAAGATCATTACTATTACACCAGAAGAGCGTTTTGGATTTTTTTAAGAATATATTGTCTTGGGACATTCTATAACGATTTGGTGGCGTATTTCACGTAAAAATCCTTTCATTATATACCGTATTATACACAATATCAATAATAGAAGAGCGACGAGCTAATCTTCAAATGAGACCATCAGAATAGACAATATCTGTAATAAGGATATTGATCAAGGAAACCAGAACTACATTCTGGAGTTTTATTGTTAAGCATTGTTAGAATTAAGTTTCTTCCTTTGCAAAACTCTCTATGTTTCCTTGCAAAACACTCTAAGTTCGGTTCCAAACAATGGTATCAACATATCGTTAGCTAAAATGCAAAAAGGCGTAACTAACAAAAAATTGAAAATTGACTTTTTGAATGAATATTGTGAATATCAATAAACTACATGTGTTGACAAAGTTTTTACACGTCTGCGGTCAAAAAATTTTTACTTAATTGTTATGACTGCCATTAAACTAAATAACTACATTTGTTAAACAAATTATAGTCTATTATTCGTCATATGCAATATCACCCTGCCGGGCATACTTTTTCATTTCACATGACATGTTTATAGTTTTCATTCAAAACAGTTTTTTGCTTCTCCTACACAATTATGCTTTTGTTAGTTACGCCTTTTTGCATTTTAGCTAACGATATGTACGTTTAGTTTGGTATGCTTAGGTGTTACTACCTCAGAAAACATATTCAAAACTGGTCCACGTCTTCGTATCTCCAAAAATGTAATCCTTGCCATCAGCTACTTAACGTTAACGAATCATTTTTATCTTTTATGCTATTTTAATTCATAAATTTACCATTTGCAAAAACGCACACAAATCTAAAAAGGTAAATAAATATTTTATAAAACGTCAATGCTTTGTTCTGATTGGTGGAAAAATAGAAGGCGAATTCATTTGTATTCGCCTTGATAACAATTTTGAATTATCATGTTCCCAAATCGCCGATTCGGCTACCTTATATGTCTACCTTGCTTCATGCATTGTGTGTGTCACACATACATATATAAAATTCAAAAAATAACACATACTATGATAAATGCTGTACGGCATGATGTATAGTGTATGGGGCCCATAAGTTATTGTAACATTGAATGTCAAAACAAATTGTTGTAATGTTTAATTCGCCTTAAACAAGGTAGATATATAAGGTAGCCGCATCGGGGAATTGGTAATATGATATGCCAAAATTTGTAAACAAAGCGAATATACATTAATTCGCAGTGACATATAACATTTGAAGCGAATTATTTCCACCAATCAGAACGCAGCATTTTTGAAGTATTAAAATTATTTGTTTACATTTTTAAAATTCCATAATTTTTCTCAAATAAAATATTTATAAATTAAAAATAGCGCAAGGGATAAAATCTTTTAAAAAATATTTAAAAATGGCTGGACCCATAATCAATATAGTTCCGGAAGTTTTTTAAAGCATCTGAGTTGTCAAGACTTAACAAAATATTGCATTATATTCAAAATTGTGAAATTACAACCGAAATCGAGCGTATTACTACATGGAAGCTGGAGCGACTGACAGATTTTTTAAAATACCAAAGTCCAAATTCAAGAAATATTATTGAATTCTGCCTGATTAATGTTCAATAATAGACCTTCAAAAAGTGATTTTTCTTCCATTGTTTATATGGTTGTATCATCTTTATCAAAAGAATGTGTGGAAGCTATCGTTTCGGATCGGAATATACCCTCACCGCCAAATAAACGAATTATACTCTCGGTTCAATATAGAACCACCTGAACATGAATGTTACCGCCGCCACTGTTTATTTACTCTTTTTTGTTATTTATTTACTTCAACAAATTTGAGTTATTCCTCTTTTATGTAGTCAATACACTTTTGCATTGATCTCTATTTATCTTCTCGTTGCCCTTTATTTATGTGGCCCTTTGCTATGTGTACACATACATGCACAAAGTTATTAGTATGTTGTTATTGTTTAATAACGGCAATGTCTAGTGGACGAAAACAAGTAGCTTCAAAGGGCAACGAAGATATAACAATAATTAGTTCGAATTTGAATACGCAGCGAGCAAATTGTTTTTAAAGCGCCATAAACTTTTGTTATTAATAAACATTTTATGTGAATAATTATTTTCAAAGTGTTTTACTTTAAAGTGGGCGACTATGAAAGTTGTTCTGCGTACCGAACTCAACATTCTTTAAAAACAATTTGACTCTTTAAAAAACTATTTAACAAGAGTTCATCAGAGCAAAATCAAAATAATTCCCGCGAGTGCTGTAAATTATTACCGTGGTTTCAGTAATAAATTTATTATTTCAAAGAGAGTGTACCAGTGTTTGTGGCTCATAATAGAAAATTTGAAAGCTGTGAAAAATCAAAAAAACCGCTGATAAAGCATCGCATTTAAAATAAAGGAATTATTTTCGGGAAAATAAAGAAATTATTTTCTAATTAAATATTATTTTTAATCGTGTTTCAATAATTTGACGACATGTCAGAAACCGATTATAATTGCAACAAATGTGAATCAAAAGACACCGAGCGTATGGTGCAATGCGATTCTTGTGACAAGTGGTTCCATTTCGAGTGTGTTAAAGTAGACAGCAATATTGCAAATGTAAGCTGGAGTTGTTCGTGCTGTGGTGACCAATCTGTAGCCCAAGGTAACGAGTGTGAAGAAATGCATATTCCAGCAGTAAATAATACCGCTGATTTCTCCGCCGGGAGGCAGGCTTCATCGTCACCAGCCAATATAGCGCAACCTGGTACATCGCAAAAACAACAACAAAAAGAAATGGATCCCGTTTTTGAAAAAGGTGCATATAAAAAGGCACTTAACCAAAGTACAAGTAAACATGGCTCCAATACTGTGTCATCAATACCAACAGCAATGTCTCAAACGACAGCTATGTCACTGACGAAAACGACGTCGACATATTCAAACAGCGTAACTAAAAATTTTCATCAAGATCGCCATTTTGAGAATTCCGGCCATTCGGATGTGATTCGATGCAACATGTCTCAGACTCAGTTGCAGCTGCAGATGTTGGAAGAGGAAAAAGAGTTACAAAGGCAATATTTGGAGAAGAAATATAAAATTCTGTCCCAAGGCAACGCAAGCCAGCCATCGTGTTCCTTTTCTCAAACGTTTACAACATTTCAACCAACAGCAGCTCAAATTGCAGCAAGGCAAGTGATACCAAAGGATTTGCCGAATTTTGATGGAAACCCAGAGGATTGGCCGTTGTTCATCAGCAACTTCAAAAATAGTACTGAGATTGCAGGCTACACTGATGGTGAAAATTTAATGCGTTTGCAGTCGTGTCTCCGTGGTCGTGCTAAAGAGTTGGTGAAAAGCAAATTATTGATTCCTTCTATGGTGGGTGAAATTATCCAGACTTTGGAAATGTGTTTTGGTCGTCCGGAGCATATTTTAGATGGCATGATCGACAAGGCCATGAGGATTCCACCATTGAAGGACAGACTTGATAGCATAATCGAATATGCTTTAACAATTAAAAATATTTGCTCTACAATGGAAGCGTGTGATATGAAGGCTCATTTAAATAATCCGATGTTAGTTAAAACATTAGTGGAGAAATTGCCGAATAATCATAAATTAAGTTGGGCTATGCATCAAAAAGATTCTAATGTTCCTATAGTGAAAGTGTTCAGTGATTGGATTTACAGCATAGCCGCTGCTGCCAGCCAAGTCGTGTCTCCAATAACGAGCAAGAAAGGAGCATCGGTGAATGCACATCAGCATAGTGACCCAAGGAAACCAACTTGTTTTTCGTGCAAAAGCGAAGTTCATAAAATCCAGAGTTGTGGCGAGTTTCAATCACTAAACTTGGAAGCAAAATGGAAAATAGTAAAAGAAAATAAATTGTGTCGCCAGTGCCTAAATTCACATCGCAGAAAATGTTTTTCCAATAAAGTTTGTGAAATCGGTGGTTGTAAAGCAAAGCATCATCCATTGTTGCATAACTATCAGTCCTCATTAAATGCGAGTTCAAATAATTTCGTGCCAACTGAACAAAGCCGAAGTGTAAATTCTCATCGTGACAGTGATAAAGAGAAGACATGTTTTAGAATTTTGCCGATTCGAGTTTTTTATGATGGTGGCTCAGTGACAACGTTTGCGTTTTTGGATGAAGGTTCTTCTGTGACTCTTATGGAAAACGAATTCTTTGATAAACTTGGAATTAAGGGCAAGAAGGAACCTCTGGAATTACGTTGGACAGGCAACACAACTCGTTCTGAAGATGATTCGGTCAAAATAAATATTGAAGTGTCTGGTGTAAAAAGTGATTCTCGTTTTGTGCTGCATGATGTTAGAACAGTGAAGAACCTTGAATTGCCCAAGCAAACATTAAATTTTGAAGAAGTGGTGAAATATAATCCGCATTTAAAAGGATTGCCGGTCGATTCATACGTCAACGCCAAGCCGACGATTTTAATTGGCATTAATAATTGGCGAGTAGCAGTCCCAATGAAAATTCGTGAAGGTGGTTATAACCAGTTTATTGCAACGAAGACTCGACTTGGATGGACTCTTCAAGGTAGTGGCACGGATGTTGGTAAAATAGCTTCGCTGAATATACACACCTGTGAATGTGAACGTCGTTACCAAATCTTGCATGATGAAGTTAAAGAATATTTTTCCTTGGATGTGTCTCAACCGAAAAATATATTGTCAATCGAGAATCAAAAAGCCATGCATATTTTGGAGAATAACTGTGTAAAGAGAGATCGACGATTTGAAGTGAATCTACTTTGGAAAGATAGTGATCCTCAATTACCTGACAGCTATAATGTCGCAGTTCATCGATTAAAGTGTCTCATGAGGAAGTTTAAGAAAAATCCTGAATTAAAGCAGACTATGCAGACGGAAATCGACAAGCTTCTCTCAAAAGGATACGCAAGAAAGGTTTTTGACTCCGAAATTAATAATTATCCTGGTCGCACTTGGTATCTTCCTATTTTTGTGGCTCTTAACCCAAATAAGCCTGGTAAAGTTCGTCTGGTCTGGGATGCAGCAGCCAAATCCAATAATAAGTCACTAAACGATTACTTGATAAGTGGTCCAGATTTGCTTACGTCTCTATTTAATGTGTTAATCGAATTCCGAGTTGGCCAAATTGCCGTCTGTGGTGACATTGCAGAGATGTTTCATAGGATCAACGTCAAAGATGAAGACATGCACGCTCAACGATTTTTGTGGTTCGAAGATGGTGACGTGAACAAAATCAGTGTTTATGTGATGAAAGCGTTAACCTTTGGAATTAGCTGTGCCCCATGTATTGCTCATTTTGTGCGCAACAAGAACGCGGACGACTTTCGGGAAAATTATCCCAGAGCAGTTAAGGCAGTTGAGTCGTATCACTACATGGATGATTTTATCGACAGTGTACAAAGTGAAGGAGAAGCCCTAGAGTTAGCATTGCAAGTTAAAATGATACATGCTGCCGGTGGCTTCCACATGAGGAATTGGGTGTCAAATTCAAAATTGGTACAAGAAAAATTAGGCGATGGAGAGCAGACGAAGAATACGTTTGGAGCTATTGAAAAAATTCTTGGTATGTATTGGGAATCCAATAATGATGTGTTTCAGTATAATTGCAGATTTTCACGGCTCTCGAGAAACGTATTCGAGTCGAATGTGGTCCCTACCAAGAGGGAGGTTCTCCAAGTTCTGATGTCCATATTCGATCCGCTTGGGTTCATCTCCCATTACACAATTGGATTGAAAATACTACTACAACAAATTTGGCGGTCAGCAATTAGATGGGACGATGAATTAAACGACGAACTATATAGCAAGTGGTCCTCATGGTTGTCCAATTTGGAGAAAATATCAAAAGTACAAGTTCCGAGATGTTACTCCAAGCTGTTGAAGTTCACTCAAGACGTCCAAATTCATACTTTTGTTGATGCTGGGGAAGACGGATATGCAGCAGTGTGCTACTTTCGCATACGATATCTCGAAGAGGTCAATATCGGTCTAGTAGCAGCAAAATCCAAAGTGGCTCCTCTCAAGCCAATTTCGATTCCGAGATTGGAACTTCAAGCGGCCGTAACCGGAGTGCGACTGGCAGACAAAATAGTCAAAGCAACGAGACTTCAATGCACACAAATATTTTTCTGGTCGGACTCAAAAACTGTACTGAGCTGGTTGTCCATGGATCCGAAAAATTTTAAGCCATTCGTCATGTACAGAGTTGGAGAAATTCTAGAGTCTACAAATATTACCCAATGGAATTGGGTGCCCTCGAGATTGAATCCAGCCGATTTTGCGACAAAAAATGGGTCCTGTAATGACGATATGTGGTTCAGTGGTCCAAAATTCCTTGAAGAAGATGACAGTTTTTGGCCGAAAAATCCCGTATTGACGCAAACCAAGGAAGATGTACGTAATTGTCTACTACATATTTCGAAATCACATACGTTCACCATAAATGTTGAGTATTTTTCATGCTGGAGACGACTTTACAAAGCACTGTCGCTATTTCTACATTATATGGAGAAGTTAAAGTCCGTGGTCCGTAGCAGCAAATTACCAGAAAATATTACATTCGAATGTGTCCAGCAAGCCAAACATATTTTGTACAAATTTGCCCAAAAATGTGGTTTTCCTGACGAAATATGGTGCCTCAAGAATAAGAAGCAAATAGAAAAAACCAGCAAATTGAACCCAATGAATATATACTTAGACGAAAACGAAGTTTTACGTGTCTCAGGAAGAGCTGAGATGTTAAATTGCAACAATGCAATAATTCTACCCAATGGTCATTACGTAACGTTTTTGGTGGTTCGATTTTACCATCAAACATTTCATCATTGTATGCATGAAGCAGTGATGTCAAATATTAAGTCCGAGTTTTACATTCCCAGATTGAGAGCACTTTACAAGAATGTACGAAGCAAGTGTCAAGAGTGCAAAAATTTAGCAGCGGCACCATGTCCACCTCAAATGGCAGCGTTACCGTCAGCCCGAGTGTCCAGTTTTGAACGTCCATTTACTTACGTCGGAATCGATTTCTTTGGCCCATTATATGTCACAGTCGGCAGGCACAAAGAAAAGAGATGGGGTGTTCTGTTTACATGTTTAACGGTTCGCGCTATTCACATCGAAGTGGCTCATAGTCTTGACACCAGCTCCTGTATAATGTGCATTCAAAATTTCATTAGTCGACGTGGCTCTCCCAAAGAAATATTTACCGATAACGGCACTAATTTTAAATCTGTTGAGAGAATGCTCCAAGAAGAAAGACGAAATTTGGAGTTCAAGAAGCTATGTTCCAAATATGATGTTATCAAATGGCGGTTCAACCCTCCAGCTGCCCCGCATATGGGCGGAGCATGGGAACGTTTGATACGTTCAGTTAAATCAGTTCTGTACTCAATGTGTCCAACCTTCAAATTTAACGACGAAACCCTACGATGTGCGCTCTATGAAGTCGAATTTATCATCAATTCTCGCCCGTTAACATTTGTGGCTCTAAATACAGTGGAAGACGACGCACTTACACCAAACCATTTATTATTAGGCTCAGCAGCAGGGGATAAACCTCTATGCGAATATGACTACGATCTGCGACAACGATGGCATCAAACCCAGCAATTTGCAAATAACTTCTGGAGAAGATGGGTACGCGAATATGGTCCAATGTTGGTACGAAGAAGCAAGTGGTTCGAAAAGGTTCCACCACCCAGCGTTGGAGATGTCGTAATTATAGTCGATGATACACTACCTCGCAACAAGTGGCCCAAAGGCATTGTAACCGAGATATTTGCAGCGAAAGACGGTCAAGTTCGCAGCGTAAAAGTCAGAACCAGTTCCAGCGAATACGAGAGACCAGTAGCCAAAATAGCAGTATTAGACGTCGGTATAAAGAAGGATGACAGTAAGCTCAAGAGGTCCTAGTTCGCTTACGAAGGGGGGAATGTTACCGCCGCCACTGTTTATTTACTCTTTTTTGTTATTTATTTACTTCAACAAATTTGAGTTATTCCTCTTTTATGTAGTCAATACACTTTTGCATTGATCTCTATTTATCTTCTCGTTGCCCTTTATTTATGTGGCCCTTTGCTATGTGTACACATACATGCACAAAGTTATTAGTATGTTGTTATTGTTTAATAACGGCAATGTCTAGTGGACGAAAACAAGTAGCTTCAAAGGGCAACGAAGATATAACAATAATTAGTTCGAATTTGAATACGCAGCGAGCAAATTGTTTTTAAAGCGCCATAAACTTTTGTTATTAATAAACATTTTATGTGAATAATTATTTTCAAAGTGTTTTACTTTAAAGTGGGCGACTATGAAAGTTGTTCTGCGTACCGAACTCAACAATGAAGGATATAATTTTATTTGAAATGTACCAAAATGCCTTTGTATAAAAGATTATAATGTATAACTATAATAAACCAAAATATCTATAGAAGACAAACATATCTCTTCATAAAATCAATACGCCAATACCCAAGTTCTTTTTATGGAGTACCGAAAGTTATTCATAATTTTGTCTTTGGGACCAAAAATTCCTCTTTACTACACAACATAAACGTGGTTCTTGTAGTATATTAAATACAGCAGGACTTCCATTCTAGAAGGCAACACGGTCTTCATATCGAAGACTTTTAAAAAATGGTATTCTTTATTTCCAATGTCTCTAATTTTTGTATACTAAAATTGTTTTTTTCTGTTACGGCGAATTCAAACATAAACAAATTGTTGTGAGATATAATCAAGGCCTAGTCCTGATTTATATTAGGCGAGTTTACTTGCGGCAATTATTATCGTTCCCTTTTGAACTTGCTTCATGCGTCTATACAAGGCAATTCGGTTTCAAGAATATTTCTGTTTTCATTTGATGTCAAAAGTTTTTTTTTACATTAAAATAAATATAAAATGTCAACAAATACGAATACACAAAACGAATTGCCAGACAATTGTCGGTACGAGCAATTTTTTTCCATTTCTATTCCCCTTGCCCCTCTCTCCTAAAGTCAAAGACTTGCCGCAAGTAAACTCGCCTAATCTAAATTGGGACCTATATAAGGTCGGCCACAGGTTAGTACAAGGTAGATATATAAGGTAGCCGCATCGGCGAATTGGGAACATAATATGTCAATATTGTTAACAAGGCGAATAATAATTAATTCGCCGTGACATATAACATTTGAAGTGAATTATTCCAACCAATCCAAGAGGTGGATCAATACTAACCATACTTTCGAGCGTTCTTATAACCTCTAAGAACAAAATTTTGTGAGAAATATCAAATAATAGCTATATAAATAATACAAATGATGAATGTCTAAATAATTTCAGATTCTTTTACACTTCGCTATAAAATTGAGGTCTTGAGGTACACAATGGCACGACATTTTCGTCTAAGACCTCATACACTATTTCAGTCGGAGCCTTAAATTTCTCCACACACTACTACTATAATGAAACAAATGTTGACCAATACATTTTAGAAAAGATCAGATCACGTATTCTCATTTAACTGCTCTTAACTTCATTGCAATTGTGTTACCTATATTCAGGTAAAACTCTAACAACAATCTCATTTTTGTATCGTAAATTACTTTGTTCTGTGTGGACCCAAGATTTTGTAGAGGCCGACTAGTTTAATCGATCTAGTTATATGTGTTCGTCGATCTGTCCATTATAATATGTGGTCAAGGTACATGCCGCTGTTATGAATCAATCGTCACTTTTTTTGTATGGTTCTGAGCAAAGAAAACGCCTATAGTTTTGTTCATTATATGTTAATATTTGGGGATGAAATGGGCCAAAAATTGTATTTTCTTTTCCCAGTGGAAAGTGTGACCCAAACTCCACAAAATATTACATTTGGAATGATCTAGCGTTGTTAGGTCAAATATGAAGAAATTGTAGCGGGATTTTAAGCAGGAACGGGATTCATTAGTCCAGTACCATGTGGTCGAACCGTCACTATACTTTTTTGCTCACTGATTTTTAACTATTACATAAAATTTATTTCAACATTCTTTAAAGGGCCCCATACACTATACATCATGCCGTACAGCATTTATCATTAGACCTCGGATTTTGCATATTTGCATATTTTTTAATAATGAAGATATCGAAATTCTGATTGGACACAAATTCGTTTCAAAGGATTTAGAATTATTTGAAGGGTTCATATTTTTTAATTTTTTGCATATTTGCATATTTTGCATATGCACGAGATATGCAAAAAGTATGCCAAATATGCAAAAAATATGCAAAATATGCAAAAAATATGCAAAATATGCAAAAAATGCAAAATATATGCAAAATATGCAAAATATGCTAAGTCGATATGCAATAAATATGCAAAATATAAGCATAAAATATGCAAAATATAGGCAAAATATGCAAAAATATGCAAAATATATGCTAAAATATGCAAAAAATATGCACGGTATGCTAGGTCGATATGCGATAAATATGCAAAAAATATGCACGGTATGCTAGGTCGATATGCAATAAATATGCAAAAATATGCAAAAAATATGCAAAATATGCAAAAATATGCAAAATATGCAAAAATATGCAAAATATATGCAAAATATATGCAAAATATGCAAACATATGCAAATTATGCAAAATATATGCAAAATATGCAAAAATATGAAAAATATGCAAAAATATGCGCAACATATTTCACATATGCAATCATTTTAATCAAAAAAAAAAAAAATTCATGGTAGTTTTCGAATTTGTGTGCTTTCTTTATTTTTAACCTATAGAAATCTAATTGTGT